CATCTGCCGAAAACCCACAGGAAATCAGATGAAACACAATCCAGAGCCCCCCTCTCCACTTAGAAGTATTGAACAATAGAGGCTGCATGCCCACAGCTGTCCTCACACCTGTTACCATATGCTCTTAAATCACATCAAGTTCAAATGGAGATTATTAGATATTTACCACCTTTTCCAGCTAAACTCAGCAGTCATCTCTTATGTGATGAATGTCTTGCATTTGTTGACAGGCAAACTTCTTCCCCGTTCCCCTTTTTTTTTCGGTGCCTATATCAAGAAACACATTTCCTGCTCTTAACACCGAAAAGTGAAGTGATACGAGTGAGTGATGGTGTGTTCTCAGTTTGCAGGATTTCCTTTGCACACGCTGTGCTGATAAAAAGATGTGGAGGCAAGGAGGTGCTCCTGAGACTATAGAATATTTATGGGGTGTATAAACAAAAGATTGTTTCAGCCTGATAAGGACAATGAAAACATGTCTACAAATGTGTATCAGTGTAAATGATAAGAAAGATATTTTCATCTTACTCAAACTGTAGAGTTTCAACTTGTGCTGCTGTTCCTCTTTGTGACTGGCTGGCTTACTTTCCAAGTTTCTTTTGACTTATTGTTGCACTTAGAAGCTATTTGACCAATGCACCCAAAGATTGAAATTCAATCAATGTTTATTTCTTTCATCAACTTCAACTTATAAAGGGCCCCTCACAGGGACCACTACTCCCAAGGCAACATAAGAAACTGATTACAGTTTACAGTTGAACTCGGGGACAAAAACACTACATGTGGATGCATGTCCTGTGGGTTGATGAAACTAAATTTGAAGTGTTTGATCATCTTTGTTACATTTAGAGAGGAAAATGGAGAACTTGCATGATTTAGAACACCTTCCCAAATATCAGGTATGAAGGGGACAACATCATGTTGTAGGTGTGTTTTCCTACAGGATGAACTGGTGCACCTCACAAATCAGATAGTATCATGAGGAGACGTCATTATAGGAAGATATTGAGACAGCATTTCAAGATAAGCTTAGGCAAAAATTAGCTCTTCAAAATAAACAACTGCGCTAAACACACAACCAAATTAGTTACAAACAGGCCTAAGAAAATAAAGGTTTTAAAGTTGCCATCACACAGTCCTAATCAGCAACTCCCAGAACATTTCTGGATGTTGCTGAAAATGTGTGCATGAGCACGGTGGCTAACAAAACTGACTCACTTGCACCAGTTCTGTCATAAGAAATGACACAACTACAGCAAACTTGTGAGAAGCTTGTGGAAAGATATCCAAAATGTTAGACACAAGCAATTCAAAGATAAAGCTAGAAAAAACTAAGGAAAGGTATGCCAACATCTGACCAACATGCTGCCAGATATTCGGGGGAAAGCTATAAGACAACTTCCAAACAGTCTAAATCTGATCTAAAATGAGAAAAGATTATTTATAAGTAGTAAAAATTTACAACAGTTGCCAAATAGCTAATTCATTCTGAAATCAGACTTTATGTGATGTCTAAATATATTGCTTAACATATAAAACCTGACTACTAGTTCTTGGTTAAAAGTGGGTCATCAGTACAACGACAAACTGAATGAAATGCTGTGGCGGGGCTAAATCAGAAAACCTCAAGGAACCAAATTATGTTGGAGTTGATTTTGTGATGTAGATGCCTGAGACCATGTAAGTGATACTTTCTTTAGAATCAATACAGATAAAATTCAAAACAGAAAAAACTAAAAGGAAAAGAGAAAAAAGATAGTACATAATAAGCCAGGGAGTGTCAAATAAGCACAAATAAAATAACATTAACAACAACGGTTTCCATATGTAGTTTCTTTTAGGTGAGAAAACAAATTTTCTGCGTCTTTGGTGGTAATTTCTTGAGCCTCAAAAAATCTATTTGTTTTGTTTGCCGCAAGATCTTGTAATGAAACTTCTTCAGGCGGGCAACTTTGTTCTTTTGGAAGTTTGGATAAATCGTTCACTGGGACTGCGCTTGTCACCAAATGTCATCTTCTTTAAAACCGAACTTAAGTCTTCAGACTCGACAGTCTCCATTTCAAATCTGATCTCTTGAAATGCCGTCTTAGTCCAAACAGCCTCAGCTGTCTCGTTTTCATGGCAAACTTCCCCAGCAGGGGAAGAATCAAAAGGAAGAGGATCAAACTCATTGCTATGGAAACGATCAAATCAGTTCTGCATAACCCAAACTATTAACCATTTGCAATGGCGTCACTTAATCACTCGAGGCGCCAAGATGTTGTAGATATTCAATTAATGAGTCACCTCAAAGTTCCTTAATGGTTGTAAGAGCATGATAGTCATACAGAAGAAAATCTGTTTTGTTGTAATGACATTTTACATTTCATAGACTTTATCTGGCTTTATTTTAATCCACCTTAGTAGTTTGTAAACATTAGGTTTGCCTTAAACAGTAAAACAAAATCCACAAGGAAGTGGCACTACACTTGGCGGAGGCACCATTGTCTTGTGACATAGAAGAAAAACTGAGTGTCTGATCCATGGGTATTGGTCAAGGTGGCTAGAAAACAAATGAATCACTCAGAATAGAATCCTTTAGCTGTCCCTTTATGGGAAAATGTAACCATAATAGCAGGAATAAACAAATAAAATAGAAACTGTATAGTAATATCAATTTTAGATAACTAAAATTCTAATTAAATAGCAACTATAGAAGGAATGTACAGATGATTGGGATAAAATAAAAATAAAAAATACAAAGTGTGCTGTTTAATTGTTGATTATTGAAGCCTGTGTAAGAAGAGCAGAAATGTAAACAGCTTATTGAGTGAGAAACAGCTGCAGGGAGGAAAGACCTACGATAATGCCCTTATGTCTGTTTAAGATGTAGAAGCCTGTTACTAAAGGAGCTCTCCAGTGCTGTAACATGCAATGAGTGGAAGAGATTGTCCAGGAGGGAGTTCCTATTCTTTATCCTTTACCATCTCCACTGGGTTGAGAGGGGAATCCTCGGACTGACCTGGTCTTCCCGATCAGTAATCAAATTGCATTACAGTACCAAAAGTAGGAGCACTTGCTCAAGCAACAACAGATGCATGAATAGTTTAATGTATAAGTTTGCAGCCTTTATCAGAGGTTTCCTTATCTCAGATTATATTTCCTCTGGCTTCTTTGCATTATACCATCTCCAAACAGATCTCAAGAAAACATGTGGGGCTACATTCTATAAAACATTCCTGGAAGAAATAAATTCTCCATTATCTGACAACTCTTCTCTATCTAATTTTTACAGATTTCCTCCCGGATAAGAGTTTACCAGCCTTCTCTTATTAAGCTGTTTTTCAGATTGCTCTTTCTGACATGAGATATTTGCAGTGCTCTAAAGAGGAAATATATACCTCCACCTTAAACTTTTCACACTATAGCTTATTTCATTGGGATTTTATGTGAGAGATACACAGTGCACAGTCAGCAAAGGAAACAGATACATATATTTTAAGCAAATAAAATGTAGAAATGCTTTGCTAGTGTATCATATTTACTCCCCACTTACTCTGACACCCCTAAATAAAACCTTAAGATGCAACTAACGGCCTTCAGAAGTCACCAAAATAGTAATGTGAGTCTACCTGTGGTTAATGTCAGTATAAATACAGCTGTTACGTGAAGGCCTCAGAAGGTTGTTAGTGAACAATAGAGAACAAACAGTACCATGAAGATCGAAATATTAACTTGTCTACCCGCAGACAAGTTAGAGGTGACATGAACAAACCAGGTTAAGATAAAATAACAATCTATGGAACACCTGCAATAAGAACACCTTCATTGAGAGGAAGCTACCAGATCCCTGATTTAAAGCAACATAAAACATTATGAAACCGCAACAGCTAAAAACCTCTTAACTGCTAATCGATGCAAACTGCAGAGTTTTATTGCATTCAAATGGTTCAGTAAGGCTTAATGAAACTACACAGTTGATACATAAATCTGTTCAAACACCTTGCAATGCTACAGTATCACGTGTTGTAGCCAGCCCAGATGCTGGCTCATCACTGCATTCAGGCTCTGGCCCAACTTCTCTCTGATCTCCCAACCGCTGAGCTCAGCTCTGCACAGCGCAGCACAAAAACAGAGAACCACGATTTCTCCTGGCTATTTCAATCAAGAATGCAGCTCTATTATTACTGCACATGGGGAAACAAAGAAAAGATCCCACTGACCACTGACAAACTCATTCATTTGCAAATACTGCAGAGAATTATTACTTTCACTACAACAAACCCAAAGCAAAAAAATAAAATATTTTGGAATCAAAATGACCCCTCCTCTACATCCACTTTCACAATGTGAATGAACTCCAGTGCACTGTCAGACTTCTGCAATATTACACAAAACACACAAGCTTTTGAGTCACTGCAGGTCTAATCATAGTAGAAGTCAAAAACAGAGAAGGAATAGGACACAATGGACTTCCATATGCATACTTCCTTCCCACCTGGTCAGCTTCACAGTGGGAACTATGATCACACAACCCTCATTTATACCAATTCCCTGGACTTGTCAGAGCTAACTCACCACAGGAAATGATCACATTAGAATCTGCATGGTCAAGAAGAGGAAATGACACTCATGGACAGATCTAAAGCACAAGGTTTGCTTCCGAAATGTATACCATTATCTGGGACAGAAAAAGAAATGATGTAAATAAGAGTGAACTTATAAAAAAAAAAAAAAACATTGTCAATATTACCAAGCCTGTTGCAACAGGTCTTAATAAGACTTCCAGTCAAGTTATAGAAACGTTGGGACAGTTGATAGCCCTTCAGGCTGCCTTTTTTTTCCGGGGCAGAGTGAAACAACCTGCAGCTTTTATTATTCACAACATGTGCCTGCCTGCTCCGCGCTGAACAAACTGCGCCCTCCCACTATTTCTCTGCAGTTTTGCATTCGCTCGTTTCATCCCGAAGGATCATAAACAAATCATAAGCTTTTAGTTTTTAGTTTTTTTTTTTCCTTACCTGTTGATCTTCAGAGCGAAAGCCCGTCGCTCTGCGCTGCTGAGAGAAGCCATGTGCGGGGTCTGAGGTCCAGTCCAGCGGATCCGGCTGTGGTGTTTCCTGGCGGCGTCGCCTCGCCCGCCTCCTCGCTGTCACTGCTTCCCCTCCTAATGATCAACTGTCAGAAGCTCATTTGAGCTGCGGCGGCGGCAGCAGCAGCTGTCCGGGGTGGAAACTTCCGCATGTGCTTTGAGGTATCCCGTCGAGGGAGTAAATGCGAGATAGAGGGAGTCAGACTGACACCGGAGCGAGGGAGGAGGAAGAGGAGGAGGAGGAGAATGGGACAGACAGGGTGGATGCATGAGGCTCATGCGCTCCCTCGCTGCTGACATGAGCGTTACCAGAAATTTATTTATTTATTTATTTATTTATTTATTTATTTGTTTATTCATTTACTTGTTCAAAAGGCATTTGAGGCACGTGGGAAGATTTTATTTCTCCCCAATCTGAGTGTGCTGCGCAAAAGTCTTACCTACATTTGCGCAGTAGTATTTTAAAGTGGCCTGACTAATAGATTTTGCTCGCTTTTCTTAACACTTTCTCAATAACTTCTAGAAATCTTGGCTGCTTTTTTATGGCTTATTTCAGCTTTAAACGGATCCTAAATTGCTCCTGGTTAAATCCCCACTTTACGACGTTGTACCCTCACTTTGCTGATGGGTTGAACCATTTTTAAAAGGAACCTTTTAGAAGACCCTTAGAAAGCACACCTATCCACAAAGAACTTCTTTAAAGATTGAAAGGAAGTTATAAGAAGCTGTACGTTATCTTACTTTGTATTCATTCAATTTGACACACTCACTAATAGTGTGTTGCATATGATAACCTATAACATCATTTTGACCTGCTTCAGCCACGTTTTAAGATTGGAAAGGAAACAAATAATGAACTAATAGAAACAATTGTTTTGAACTTAACTGACCTGCACTGTATGAGTTGCATATGTAATCCTATAGCATCATACTCAACTCCTACTCAAACCACATTTGAAGGTTTAACGTCACTTTTGAATTTTTATAGTAATCTTTACAGAAATTTAGAAAGAGAACTCTCTTATATGAAGCATTTTTGTTGTTATTATCATATGTTAAAATTGACAGTTGATATTTTAAAAATAAAAATAATACAATAAATAAATAATAAAATATCTTAACTAAATATGACAAACTAAAATAAACAATTGCGATTGATAACTAAAATGTTTTTGCAAGGTCTTGAAGGCGCATAATTAAGGGAGCATTATAATGTATTAGTCAGAACAAAATTTGCATATTTCCAGATCATTTTAGTGCCCATTCCCGCCATGAGAATGAATTCAGTGAGCTCATCTAAAATGTTTTTGTCGACATCTTCTGGTTGATTTATGTCACTGTGCATTGATCAAGCCCCTTGGTTCTGTCAGACTATTTCCAAAACAAGCTGAAAAATAAAATTCTTGTGTATTTAATTTCGAAAACAAGTTTTGATTTTTAAAACTTGCAGATAATTTACATTTTGAGTAGTGTTTATTTTAGTTTTAGTAGTTGGTAATTTTGGAATTGTAAAACCACTAGAAGAAGAAGAAGGGGGAAAAAGCGGAACCATGGCTGGAGCACGAGGATCTTACCGGACAATATTTAGTGTGGCGCACGCTGTCATAACTATAAATCGAGGGGCTGTAAAGCTCTTTGTGGGAGCAAAGTTGTCAATCCGAGGTCGTTTTTTCACGCTTTTTGTGAATTAATAACTTATGTTGCCGTGATCACCCATCAGGTTGGAGGATTATCTGTCTATGCAGTGTTTATTATCATTGTTTTATCATTGATTAGATTACGACTAACATATTGAGTGATGTTGTTTAGGCTTGCATTTATCAACAGCCTTTCCTGGAATTAAATTATAGAAACACCAAGCCTCATTTTGAGTAATATTAGGGGAAAAAAACTTCATTCCAACTGTTTTATGATATTAACATTGATGCAAGTTGTTCATAAAGGCACGTATGTCACATTCATGGATCCTAATTAATGTAACTTTTTTTATTCATTACTCCCAATTAAGCTTACAAAATGGAGGAGGAGGATGATTGTCCAGAGTTGGTGCCCATTGACAGCCAACCTGGTCTCCCAGCTCGACAGATTCCTGTCACCATCATCACTGGCTACCTGGGTGAGATGTGAACTAAATAAGAAGATTAAAAGCTCAGACAAAGCTGTAGGACTGTTAACTCAGACTGTTTAATATCATAAGTGTAGCACCTTGGAAAAGTACTCATACCCCTTGAACTAGTTTACATCTTATCATTTTATTTTATGTGATGGGACAATTAAAAAGTAGTTGTCCAATTATTTTTTTTTTTTTACTATATAAAAATATATATTTTTTTATATAGTCTTTGTGAATGATCCTTTCCAGTTTTGCCACAGATTAGGTCTGGACTATGACTGGGACAATTGAACACATGAGGATTATTCGATTTAAGCAATTCCATCGTCACACTGCCCTTATTTTTAGTATTGTTCTGCTGGAAAGTGAACCCCCTCCCCAATCTCAAGCATTTAGTAGATTCTAAACACAGACTGGCTCTGAAATAATAAAAATTACTGATGGGACTTGCATAGGTACCCTTTTGTGTGTGCATAAAACCTCAACATAAAATCCATTTCTTTACAGGGGCCGGGAAAACCACACTGCTGAATTATATCTTGACGGAACAACACAACAAGCGGATTGCTGTCATTCTCAATGAGTTTGGAGAAGGTAATTGAGGAGAAGAAGTGACGTAAAACCTAACTGAAAACATGTGCAGCCTGTTTAGTAGATGGTTGAGTCACATCTTGGATTTGTGCTATGAGCAGCTAATGTGCAAAGAAAAAAGTATGCTACTCTAATATTAATTAAAAAGGGATTTGTGTGTTAGGTCAGAGCTAACAGGTGAATAAAATAGGACAATGTCTATGATCTACACATGAATACTTATATACAGGAAAATGAAACTGTAATCAGGAACTGAAAGCTCACTTGTTATTCTTAATGAAGACTGAATGGTATGTTGTTTTTTCTCTTTTTTAAAACCTATAAAATGGTGGTTCCTTGAAAATTACGACACATTTTTGCAGGTTTTTAATTAAAACTTACTTTAGTTTTTGAAAGGTTATTAAACCTAATGAGCTTTATATAGCTGAAATACAAGTAAAACTATCTATTTGTATTATAAAGTTTACAGACCCCTGCTCTTGACAATATGAGATTTGAATATATTTGTTTATGAACTACACAGATAAGAAAATTCGCCTAGTAAATGGTTTTCACTGAAATGCTTCAGATGTTTAAAAACTGATAAAATATTTAGAAATGTCTTTTAAGCCTTAACAGTACCTCTGAAAGCTGCCTATCCTCTGTTGCCCCCTGTACCACCTTCCCCTCCCTGCAGGGAGCGCTCTTGAGAAGTCGCTGGCAGTGAGTCAGGCAGGGGAGCTGTATGAGGAGTGGCTGGAGCTGAGAAATGGCTGCCTTTGCTGCTCTGTCAAGTATGCATTGGAACTGCAGTTCATCTGAAATGCACTTTTAGAAATCTTTTTTGTCACGAATATATTTTAACTTAAAAAATCACATGGAAGAATAAAAATATTTATATTTTTGTTTATTAACATTAAAACATATTTTAGTTTGGTATCTTTTGTGTATGTATATGTTTTTTGAAAAGTGATGATACTGTGGAAAAAAAGATGTTTATCTCTAGAGTTTGTTGAATAGTTTCTCTTAGCACATGCGGCAACAACCAACTACTTAATTCAACTTCCTCAGATCTAGGTTCTCTTTTGTAAAATACTCAGTCTTGTGGAGATTTTTTACAGAAAAATAGAAATGCTTCTGCCAACTCTCCCTCTTAATTTGCGAACCTAGTCAAAAAAATTCAGTGTCACTGCAGAGTCTGTAATTTTTTTTTAAAGCAAAAAAAAATTGTAATATAATAACATTTCAATATTCCTTTCAAATTGATCTTTAGTTTATTTTTGGTTGTCTATGTTTTATTTCAATTGCCCAGTAATTAACTGAAATTTGAACTAGAAACATTTTGCAGATTCGTCATTCTCCTACTCTTAAAATAACAAATTCAGACCCAAAGTAGCCTACTGATCTGCTGATTGGTGTATAAATGTGTGCATGTTTGTGAGGGCAATTGCTCTGGTGGTCATTAGACTGGAAATGTGACGTATGAAATCAGTCCAGTAAGTATTTTCATGTACTTACCTTAGCTATAGCCTGCTCATTGCTTGGTTCTTTTGCTATTTCCTTAGGGATAACGGGCTCAAAGCCATTGAAAACCTGATGGAGAAGAAAGGAAAGTTTGACTACATTCTTCTAGAAACAACAGGACTTGCTGATCCAGGTAATGCACTTAGAGCTAAATCCAGGCAAGATGTTATAAATATGTGTTTCCTGATTGGCTGATCGTGTTATATATAAGTGATGACCCCAGGATGTCACATTGTCCATTGAGTTCTCCATCACTGAGCCCCTATTCCAGCCTTAATTTTCACAGTTCATATTGTCTATTTAAACATAGGTCACTTAACTTTACTGCTATAAATGCAGCAATGTACCTGTTTATTGATCTATGCAAACAGACACCAATCTGCATCTAGTGTAATGGTATGTTTTCTTGTCTTTGTTCTATATTGATGTTTATTCTATCTTAAACCATAAAAATGTTCCATATGTAGTGATTAACTCCAATGAGGAAAGATTCAATTAAGAAAGCATTTTATTGCATTTATTTTTGAAGGGAATGTTAGGGGTGATATGGAAGATTTTTATTTTAAGGGTGAACAAAACCTTTTTTTTAGCATTGTATTTTTTCTCTCCTATCAGGACTTAAAGCTTTGGGTTTTCTAAAATGTTCAGTTTAATAATATTAGAATAAAAGATTAATTTACACATGTTACAAGTTGTACAAGAGTAAAACAAAAGGGGAAAACTGTGTGTTTTCTTCATTTCAGTTAATTCTGAATCCATCTTTTACTGTTATTTTTTCTTTTCTTGTGTGTGTGTCCAAATTGATAGTTTCTCCCACATACTTTGTAAATCTCACATCAAAAGTTGGACATTTTCTGACAAGCCAAAGATCAAAGTCATGTTGCTGTGACAGCAACACCAAGGGGAATCCTGAAAAGCATCTAATTGTCCGTTCATCTCTTTGCTGCCAATCTGGAAATAAGCTTTGGGCTGTTAAAGTGGGGGCATTGTGGCATGTCGCTAAGTGACAGGTGTCAGGAGATAGCGTCACTGGAAGACACTCGCTACCCCAGCTCTCAGTCAAAACAAACAGAGCAGACCCAGACTGGGGCTGGCCTGACTCTTCTTCCTCATCATTGGCTCGTTATGGCCCCCGACAGGCCTGTCATTGGCTCCGGCAGCGCTGTCAATCATAAAGACTCCAGGGAGGATTCTCCTCTGGTCTTCCAAGCATGAGGTTGGATGACTTATATGAAACATGCCATTCAAGAACTGCATTTGTATTATGCGCCCATCAAATATTTGCAATTATTACTTATCCTCACCTGACAGGTTGACAAATGTGCGAAATGGAAACAAACCAAATGTACCAGAAGGACGAGAACAATTGATGGCTTTTGAAATTGCTTTTATCCGGATTTCTGGGCTCTGTCTGAAAAAAAAAATAGTTTGGATATAGAAAATTCCAAAGTAGATTAATTTCTAAATAAGAGCAAGCAAACATCAAGTCATTTCTCTTCACTTTAAGTCAGAACAAAAATAAATGTCATATTTTCTATCTTTTTTTTTTTCTTGCTTTTTTTTTTTTTTTTTTTTACATTTTGTTGAAGTATTGTTGTCCATCAAACGAAGCACAAGATGTCATTTTCATAAGTTATGAAAATTTCTGTTCTGTTATTTTAAAATCTAAAACCTTAATGAATCAGGAAATAAAAATCTTGCTTTTGCCATAAATTTTAGGCCAATTTTCACATTTACTCATATAAATCAGCATATATTAGCGTACTGGCAAGGTTATGTATAAATTAGATCTCTGATCTCGCTCTAGTTTAGCTTTAATCTTTCTATTTTTCCCTCCTTCTTCTTTTTCCTAATATACTGCCTCCTCTTCGCAGGAGCTGTGGCCTCCATGTTTTGGGTTGATGCAGAGCTTGGCAGTGATGTCTACTTAGATGGTGAATATCTGTTTTTGTATTGTTTTGTGAGCCTCTTTGTTTGAACCAAGTTCCTGTTGATGCGGGGAGAAGATTGAGAATCCAAAGGTAGTGCCCCATTATGCATGATCCTACCTCCACAACTGCTAAACAGCTGGTAGATCTTACATTTGAAAACCTCATGCAGAGTCATCCAAACATTGTTGGTGTACTTTATAGTTCAACATTTGTGTGACACTGATAAATTTCTTTGAGCTTAAAGGTGTCACTTTTTATGCAAGTGTTTTTTTTTTTTTTGAGTGTGCAGCAGGCTTGTTAACCATACACTGGAACCATTAGAACAAGTAATGTTGAGCTGTCATAGGTGTCATAGTTTTAACTCAATATTTACCACATTGTATTTAGTTTGCTCTCAATTCCTACTTTTCTTGTTCATTTGCTTCATTTTGGGATGTTTGAATGAATGAGCTGCTGCTCCTCACACAGAATGCTCAGCTGTCCTCTCTGTTCCGGCTCATTCACCAAGTCCTCTGTTCAGACTGAATAACTCAGAAAATTACTGACTGACACCGAAATGGAGCTTTGGTTCAGAAAAAAAAGTGTTCGATTCATGTTTTGATCATTTTTTTGCTTTTTTTACTGCAGGAATTGTGACTGTCATTGATGCAAAGTATGGGCTTCAGGTATGTGACGGAGATGTTTGTTTTAATAGGAAGACAGAATAAAAAGTTTTTTTTCGTTCATTTGAGAGCTTATTCTGCTGTAAATTCTTTCGTTTAGTAGTTTCTGATTTTCACAGGCAACCTGAAATCACTGATTTGTTATATTTACTGTTGGTGCAGATTTTATTTTATTTTTTTACATCTACAGCAGTCTGCTTAACCTCTGAGATTCTTACATTCCCCTCCTTTCAGTGAACAAACACATCCTGCCTCTTTGTGCTACTTAAAAGGAACAAGACAAGTGACACCCAGATAATGGGCTCTAATTTAGAGGTGTCATGCTCAGTGAAGTGACACATTTCATGGCATTTTGTGAAGCAAGATGAAGGGAATCCTGACAGATAGGAGGGAATCAAACTCATGTTGGCAGAGTAATAGATATCAGAGGAATGACCATTGCAATGGGGCTGTCATGTCCTCTTACCTGCTTCCCATTGCATTTATTTTTTTGATATTGATCTAAAAATACCACTCTCCTCCCTCACCTTCCTGAAATGTACCTATCTATCTAACATTTTGTGTTTCTCTTGTGATGGTATGGGTTTGATAAAACAGGAGTGAGTGGGTGGGCTTATTGTGGCCATGTGTGGCTGAGATCACCACAGTGATCTTAGTGATTCATGCAGCCCTAATGTTCTGTTATCACACTGTCTTGCCAAATTATTAAGACTCCTCAACTCTGCAAGCATTGAACTGAGCTTGAGATACTTTGCAAAGCAGAATGGCTTAACATTTCAGCCTCTAGGTATGCTCAGCTGGTAACGACATACTCCAGCAGAGTTGCATCTATAACTCCAGCAAATGATGGTTCTGATTACACACATTTTTATTAGCAAAAACCTTTGTAAACGATATGCGCTTTTGGTTCCACTTTATGATTTCACACGAGTTTGTTTAGGTCTATCACACAAAACCCCAATCCTGGTATTTGTATGGATTTCTCCTTTAATATTGTAAAGTTAATTTTGAGAATTTCTGTGCAACATCTTTATTATTTCTTCTTTTATAGCAACTAAAGGAGGAGAAAGCAGAAGGACTTGTCAATGAGGCATCCAGGTCTGACTACTGACGTTTATGTATTTTAGCTCTTTTTTTTATTTATTTTGTTTCTCTTGCTCACTAAATACTATCAATACACACTCCTTTTGAGGGAGTGTGTCTATGAGACACCAGTGCTCTTTAATGAATAGCCCTGATCTGAACTTTTAAAAAATAAGAACGAGTTCAAAAGCTACCTTAAAACTATGAAAAAAGCCAGCTGTCAGATATCAGGTCAATTATTGCTAACAAGTGTAAAAAACATTTTACAAACATGACTGAGCAAAACTTTATCCTGGTCCATGATTACGGCTAGAACAGTGTTTCTAGATGTAGAAAAAAGATTTTAAAAAAATTTTATTTTTAAAATCTTTTTTAAGAATAAAGATTTGACGATGGTAAAGGAACCTTTACCGTATTCGCTCTTCTTTGCTTAATGTCTTCTCAGACAGGTTGCTCTCGCTGACCTCACCATTATCAATAAAACCGATCTGGTGGAGGAGGAGGAACTGAACCAAGTTCGAGACACTGTCAGGTCCAAAACGACTTCTTACAACCAATCCTCCATCACTGATGTGGGTTTAAAAGTAAGGCTGAGCTGCCAATTCGAATGATCGTAATTTTTCTCCTCTCACCTCAGGTCTATAAATGGTCTTGTTAAGATTTTAGAGACCCAGAGATCAAGGTGAGTCCTTTTTTTTTTTCAAACAAATAAAGGGTCATTCGCTGAGATGAGGTTAAGTAGCTTTTTCTGTGGTCCAGCTATCCTGCTGTGTTCATCATAACTCTTGCTCAGATCTTTGTATCAAAGATGAAGCAGCTCAGACAAGGAGACGTGCACATAAGCAAACACAAACTACAGCGCCCTGAGTAAACATCAAGCCCACGTTGGTGTCCAGTTTCCCACAAGTCTTTGCCCTCTGACCCCCAGGCCTGCAGGGTGGCTCCATGTTGAATGTGCGTACACACAAATGCGTGTGTAGCAGCCCGCAGAGGCCTAACACACTGTGGTGTAAATGAAAGGTCGGGTGTGTTTGGACTCTGTGCCGCCCTCCTGCAGAGCTCAGACCTGGGTGAACAGATGAAAGGCCGTTCAGCGAGGGGCTAATTGAAACAGTATTGTGGAGGCATTTATTGTTGGTTAGTTCTCGTTGTTACCCTTAAGGTTAGTTCAGGACCAAAGCTCAAATTATTCCTTGTGGTTCGTTTTAAGTTTAAATGAAATGGAAGAAAATGTTATCATCTTTGCAGAGTGGATCTCTGTGACGTCCTGGATCTGCATTCATTTGACTGTCAGGACGGAGCAAAGTAAGTTTGGTTTTTATTTTACTTTTGTTGAGAAAAATGTGTACTATTTAGTCATTTATGCCCGATTTAAGCTTTACTTGCTTACAAACTCTACTGCAGTAATGTACTAGTTATATATTTACTAAGGATGTCTATATTGAAAAGTGTGACTAATGATGATCTGACTCACTTAAGATTGGACATGTACTGACTTCTTTAAAATAATTACTTTTCACATGCACTGAAGTAATACACTGCATTTAACATCTGTTTTTTCTTTGAAAAAAGATATCTGTGTCCATCTTCAGTAAATTTACATCTGTCTTCTACTGATGGTCTTTTCATAAAACAGAAAACATAATTTATGAAAATGCTAGGATTTCTGGTAGCTTGTTCTCTCTGTTTTGACACAGGCTGAAGTGAGTCTGCTCGTAAAAATTTTCAGCCCGCTTTTAATTCTGTCACAGGAAAGATGTACAGAAAAAATTGTTCTGCTGCATCATTAAACTAACGTCATCAGATTTAATAATTAGTATTTCAGCTGCTTTCTTCACAGTTGTTCCCAAACTGACATCTGTCTGAGGAGAGTTGGATTTAACAAAGTAGTCAGTGTGAAGATATTTGATTTTTCCTCATGTATCAACACTTCAACTTTTCTTTTATTGATGCACCTAATTTGTGTGAACAAAAAGGTCTGAGAAATACTTCCACACTAAAGACAATTATGTACCTTCTGAGTTCGGTATTTATCTTCTAAAACTATGAAACATATGAACTAATAATATGGCATTCTTGCAAAACCTGCAGGGTAAAAATATTTCTATTCCATTGTTGGCTTTTGTTACTAGTTTGTCTGACAGCAGCCTTTGATATTGCTGCTATGTTTCTCTCTAATTAACAGACTCCCTTTTTTTTTTTGACTGACTGTGTCCCGCCCCCCCATCACACCGCAGGACGGTCATCATATTGTATACCCAGCTGAATCTCATTCTCATGAATAGAATCGGTGTTCGTCCCTTCATATGAATGAACCAGCCGCCGCGTTAAAGCTCCCTTACATGACCCGAGTCAGTGTCTCTTGACCAGATGCAGAGGATTAGAGCTGTGTGTGTCCACTGGCACCCAGTGAGTCCCCCTTGTCCCAACAGATAGTTCCTTTCCCCCTGCCTTTTGAGTCTTGGCCCCTCCTCGTTTTTCAGCCCCATGCTGGCCGTTTGAAGCCCCCCTCCCCCGCAGCTCTGCCTGAGTGGTACTACCAGCATGGAGGGCTAAAGCAGCTGGACACAACATTTAGCCTCCTTGTGAGGTCAGAGGGAACTGGGGTAATAGTTTGTTTGGGAGCTGTGGTCAGTATCCCAAAGGATTTAATTGCCATTTCTAAAGCATTCGCAACTCCATTTAGGGATGTCATTAAGCATCGACACAAGTAGAGATGTAAGACGGAAGAAAAAGTTCTTCTGTAGGTGGGAATTTCAAATATTTCAAATACTCCCACACCTTTTATTTTTAACTATTATAGAATTTAAGTTTTAAAAATAATTAATTATAGGTTAATTTTTTAACTAAGTAAGCATCTTTAATGTTAAAGGTAGTTAATGAATCATGAGTTGCAGTGTAAAGCTCAAACTATCAGAAACAAAAGCTTGGTTTATCTGCTTGTTAATAAGTCTAACATAGCCTAACAACTTCAAAATGTTTCTTCAAGTTATCAGGTGTTTAAAAATAACGTTGGATGAAATTGTTGGATGAGACTGTGAAACAAATTTTCATGTCTATTTATATCTCTGATCTGAAAGACTCGCTGAGAAGCTCCAGCTTGCGAAACCGACCAGACCACACCTGGACAAGGTTTGTTTACACCGATCTGAGTTTGCTTTGTGCATTGCTGATAGTGTTACCATATTTTTAGTTTGTTAATTTATTTCAGCACATCGTTTCCTGCAGGATAAAGGGGAATGCGGGGCTTTAACACTTCAGTGAAAACTCCCGCCCTGCTGTACTTTTTGTGTTGTGATCAACTTGATGCGTTTGCTTTCATGTTAGATTACAAATGGAGTCAATCTGAGCTTACAGCAACCCAAGCACTGTAGCCCTAGACTAGCAAGAACTCCCCCGCCCACATTAAACATTTTTAGATATTTGTAACTTTGAAACCACAATTTTCAATCTCTACAGCAAGTTACCATCCTCACACCATCCAGTGAGGATGGTGTGTTTTCAATTCGATATAAAACAGAATAGATATTTATGTACTGTACCACAATGAGGAAATTCTACTGCGGCAAAGTCATGTGGAATCAAAGTAAGTAAGTTCACACAAAGATCGGATATAAAATATGTAACAACAAAATAAAGGAGAAAATGCTGCACAATGAGGTCAAAATTTCAACACAAATATTATCTTGTTATTAAAGAATAGCGTAGTCCAAATGTGTAACTGGGTAGATTAATTTTTTAAAAATAGTTGAGATTGCGCATGTATTTTTGAGTTTTAAAAAACAGAAGAACTTCTACAAAAAGTGACTGTGGAACATCAGAGATATGTGGACGCCAACGAAAATGTCAAACACCTGTACTCTAATACATAGGTGTATTGAAATAGAGAAAATATTGATATGTGGCTATAATGTATATAATCCCAATGAAATGCATAGATTTTTTTTCTTGTATTTTTGGAAAGTATGCGGAAAGTTCAAATATTTTTGTATGGCCCTCAAAATGTTGTCAACCATCATTTTTCTGAACTTCTTTAATATTTTTTTCCACACAAGAGTACCACGAGAAATGACGCTCTGCTGCAGTTAGTTGTGCTTTATACACATGAACTTTTATCACAGGATGAGGATAAACCGGGGTTAATAACACCATTGTTTGTGTGTTTTCTCTCAAGTTCCTTTTCCCGCATGAATCTCCACTGTCCTTCAGATCCCCCTGACACACGACCACACCTCCATCACACCCCTCTTTTCATGTAAATGAGAATGCCACTTTTTCTGTTGTTATACCAAATGACAAGGAACTGTGTAACCTCAGCACTAAAACCCAAACCTCCCACGAATATCCGCAAGGTGTCCTTTTTAATGTTGTGAGGAAGCATCAAAGAAGGAGGGGCGAGCGTGTGTGTGAGAAAGATGCAAAGAGCGGGACACCGTCACTCCATTTCGGGTGCCAAATGGGACTGTGGGTTTTGACACATTCACTGACAAAGTCCTCAGCCGGGGCGTAAAAAGTGCATCTTTTGTTCAGAGCTCACCATTAGTCTCACTAAACTGAAAACATCTTTGCAAATAAATGTTTAGCTCCTGAAAATAAGATTTTTTAAGTTATTAAAGCAGCAGTGCTAGTCAGCAAATTACGTATCAAATACAGAACGAGCTTTGCATTTCATATGGAAGTGTACAGTTTTATTGTCATGGTTACTATTTATGTTTTTAAAAACAACATGAATCTACCTATAATGTAATGTATGCGTTATTTTTCTATCACCTCCAGAGTATTTTAACTGCGACGTTTGAGGTGACGGGAGACCTCTGTGAAGATGCCCTAAATACTTTCATCCAAGTAAAGACACGATCTATTATTCTTCTCCCTGTTGCCACTGCTAATTAGTTTTGGTACCATTACATTCTTTGAAACGTAAACACTCACTTTCCACTGTCACAGGATTTGCTTTGGGAAAAGAAGTTCTGTAACAAAGCAGGGGAACCCATGAGTGTCATCCGGTTGAAGGTACAGCAGAACACAATAGTTCCCTGGTGGTTTTATTATCTATTAACCAGTTAGACTATTCATTTGAGGCAGCTTAATGTTTTACTTGTGACTTGTGTGTTTTCAGGGTATAGTATCATTTGCAGGCAAAGCGCACCAAGTAATGCTGCAGGGGGTCCATGAGCTATACGAGTTAAATGAGACTCCACAACTTTGGGAGGAAAACCCACACACAAACAGGCTGGTGTTTATAGGTAGGTAAGCTCATATACACATATGTACACACACATCTTGATGCCTTTTTAGACATTGTTGTCAGAAAAATGTATAAATGTTAATGAACTTAAAGTTGTTTTGGGGAGGTTTCAGTGAATTTATAACATGATGCTTTTGATTTTATTTCACAATAATACATTTTAGTCCTTTTACTGTAGTTTTTGGCTTCCTAAAACATATCCCACCAAATCATCCTAAATGATAATTTTATTATTAGCATTACTGTTTACACTGATTAGTGTCATTAAAGTTAGTTGTAGAATGAAGGTTGGATTTGCAGGTACAGTTCCTTGCAAAAGTACACAGACCCATTTGAATGTTTTCTCACTTTATCAAGTTACAACCACAAGCTAGATTAAAATTTGTATTATTGTGTGGACAATAGTAGCCACAGAAGCAGATAAGAGGTCTATGTTGACTCTGGAGGAGAGTTGGATCTCAGGTGGGAGAATCTGTCAGTGTTGAGAATTTGTTGTTTGCTTAAAACCAAATTCAAATTTATTTTGTCATTCCAGATAAAGAGTGTACAACACTGTAGCAAGAATAATATTCTCAAAATTGTAGAAACATTGCTACTTGCATGTCTAATTAAATGTGGCCTTCATAGAAGAGTGCTGCACGTCACCCTGATGATCACCATAATGAAACATGTCAGTAGCAGCATTATACTAAATACCTGTAAATCCTCTATGAAAACCTGCACTAAAGACTTGAGTCAGGTTGAACACACACCTAAAGGTTTGAAGTGTTTGTTCAGTATTTTTCAACATGAATGTGTCTTTATTCTGCTGTCCTAAATTAACTTTTTGCCCTTACTTTAAATTGCAGGAAAGAACCTGGACAAGAACATCCTGCAGCAGATTTTTATTTCTACTGTTGTGATGGATGGAGTTAAAAAATAGGTTTTAAGCTCCTTTGTGAAAATCTCTGTAGTTGATTGTGTAGTAAGAAGGTTATGGCAGATTTCATATAACTGATTATGCTTCTCAAGCTCTATTTTCTATAGATGACTGAATGGAAGAATAGAAAGTAAAAATAACTGCAACTTCTTTAACCTGTGATATTTAATCACAACCTCTACCTTTGAAAAAGCTAGATAGTAAAAAATTAAAGTGGAAAAAAAGTGTTTAACGCCTAAAGGAGTAAAGAGAGTGATCAACATATTGCACTTTTTAAATGAAACTTTAAATGAGTTTGCCAGTATTTACATTTCTGATACTCAATTGGACTTGTATTCATATCAGTTCTGTATCTTCAAATTAATTTAAATAAATTATCTTCTAAATATGGTGTTCTGATACTTTTTTGTTCTATCCTCATTACATAATAATAATAATGAATAATGTTTTGTTCTGAAAGAAAGTTGCTCTAAAGGTGACAAAAGAATGAGTTTCAGCTTTCATTTAAAATACTGTCAGAAGACCAGAGAGCTCTCCAGGGCTGAGCATTCCAGCATCGATCAAGTTTAGGATTCTGCTGTGTTCAGGACTGCAGACGTTTTCAGGTTTCAGTCAAATCACATACATGCATAGTGGTTGTATGTTTGTGATTGCAAATAATTTCCCCCTTGCTCTTCATGTGGAGCCCTTCCACGTTGACCATTTGCAATGTAGATGCTGTAACAGCGTGTGTTTTGTTTGTTGTTGTTGTTGTTTTTTTTTCTTCGTTTTTGTGTGTGTGTGTGTGTGTGTGTGTGTGTGTGTGTGTGTGTGTGTGTGTGTGTGTGTGTGTGTGTGTGTGTGTGTGTGTGTGTGTGTGTGTGTCGATGGCGCTGTTGGAGCTCCCTTGCTTTGACGCTTCCTTTTCAGCTCCGCGTCCCGAACCCGAGCCGCGTCACCGCGGAGCGCATCACGCAGCTGAACCGTTTCCTTGTTGATTCTCATGCTGATGGCCTCATTAGGTGCAAACACTGCCTGTTCTCTCCGCAGGCTGCAGGAAGCCCCATCCCGCCACCATTTTCACGGTCACTCCACCCGCGGGGCATCCAGAGGTGGAAAACTTGAGTTAGGTGTAAGGTTGTAAACCTGGAACACCTCACGCTTGAATATGGTGTATTATTTATTTATTTCAGTTAATTTATTATTGTTGTTTTATTGTGAAGCGGTAAAGCAGAGAAACTGGTTTCAAGTATCCTCTTTGCAGATGTAAGTCTTTGATCTTAGTCTATAAAATGTAGGACAACTAAAAAAAAGTCTCGTTTGATAATTGGATATCACGATATACATTATTCTTTACGATATACATTATTCTTTACAATGGCCAAGATGTTATTAACCAGAGGCCTATGTGATGCTGCATTCATTGGCAACTCCAAAGAGCGAGAGCATGTCACCGTAGAATCACTAACACCCAGCACTCCCATCATGCTCACATCCCCCACCTCACCAGTGTAGTCATTTATAATCAAAATTTGTTACAAATGACGACGGGGGTATCTTATTTGAGAAAGCTTAAGCTGAACTTGGTTAATTTAAGACCCAACAGCAGTCAATTTGTGCCATAAAATATTATATATTTACTTAATTCCTGAGTAGATAAACAAATAAAATAAAAAATTACAACAAAGTTATGTTTGCGTCTTAATTGCATAAAAAATGTTGTGATTTCAAATAGATGATTTTTCCCTTAAGGGCAAAATTCTGTTCTTCTCAGCCTTCAGCACTGTTAGGCGCCCCCACACCGCTACCCTTTCCAACACTTCTGGATGCGCCTTTGTTAGTAATCACTTTCTTTCTTCGTGTCGTTCCAACTACCTCCTTACTAACAGGTATCCTAAAGAATGCCTCATTCGGCCATTCTTGGGGTGAAAGGACCTTTCGCACCAACCAGGCATTCCCCTCCGCCCCATCTTGCAGTGGCCCCCTGCAGCGAGGGGGCTCTGATAGGTCCGAAGGATTAATGGGACTGGCCTGCAGGGCAGAAGCATCCCTGTCTATAAAACCTCTTCGCTCCCCATCGCAAACCGCCTTGTGTTTAAACAGGCAGACCACAGACGCGCTTTTACGCACGACGCACCGTTACGCTTGTTTTGGCATACAAAGTTTAGGCGCGACTATGATTCTGTCCGGTGAATCTGAGGCGTCTCACCAAACTAGACTGTCTATTGAAGAGCATGAGATTGATATAGTGGGCGGTGAAGAGCCTGTCCACCCGCTGGTGTTCCGGACCGAGCGCTCCACGGACGCTGTATTTTCGACAGAATCTGGTGCCGAGTTCGACTCCTCAGAGCCCGATTCCTCCGGGGAAAGCGAGAGCAGCTTCAGTACGGACACTCCGATGCCCAGGAAGGCTCAGAGTGGCTCGGTAAAGCCTCCGTACTCCTACATCGCCCTCATCACCATGGCCATCCTGCAGAGCCCACTGAAGAAGCTGACGCTGAGCAGCATCTGCGACTTCATCAGCAACAAGTTTCCCTACTACAGGGAGAAGTTCCCAGCTTGGCAGAACTCCATCAGACACAACCTCTCTCTCAATGACTGTTTCGTTAAGATCCCAAGGGAGCCCGGGAACCCGGGGAAAGGTAACTACTGGTCTCTGGACCCTGCGTCTGAGGATATGTTTGACAACGGCAGCTTCCTGCGCAGGAGAAAGCGATTCAAGAGGAACCAGCCGGACTTTAGCAGAGACGGATTGTTTTACTCTAACCTGAGCAGCTACAGGCCGTACGGACAGCCGTATGGCGCACAGGGGCAGGTAAATCTCATACCCGCTGCTCCTGCTCGGTACATACCCCTGCAGGATGGAACTATGATGCCCCCTTCTCCTTTCCATCTTTGTCCGCGGGCTCTAAACGCTCACGGGAAACGCAGTGGGCCTAAAGACTTCAGAGCGCAGCCGTGGTTAACAGAGCCAAAGTCTGGCGCTCAAGCAAAGTGCTCATTCAGCATCGACAGCATCATGAGCAGACCATCTCCCAGCGGTGCACGCAACCCACATCCACCCCACTCTCTTCACGGTGGTCTTGGATTTGGGTATCTGATGTCAAACCCGGCATCCCGTTTGGTTCCAGCGCTCCTGCAGCCTTTAAAGACTCCCCTGTACTACAGGCCTGCAATGCCGAGCACAGCTCCTTTAATAAACGAGCATCTCCTACGTTCTGTCCCTCAATGCTGAGGCCACCTGAGACACTTTACAGTCTGTTTTTTTTTTATTGTTGTCTGTTTCTTAAAGAAATACTTTGGTTGCATGACATTTATGTGCTTTACCTGTAGCTTTAAAGGGAGTAATGTAAATAAGAAGAGTGGTAATATATCTGTGATATTGGATGGTGAGTTGTTTTATTGTTTTCCTACCAACTGGGGTGTCAAAATAAATGTTTGAGAAGTATGTTTTGGCTTCGTGATAATTTGAAAAATTCAAACTCCAAAAAACCATGGAGTTTGGATTTTTTTTTTTTTTTGTAACATTGTATTTCTGATTAAAATGTTCTTGTTTCATAAAATATTTTTCTGAGTTGGTTTTTACTTGGTTGACGTGGGAAAAAAAAGGAAGAAAAGTTCAAAACATATTTGTTGTGTTCACTACTTTAGAATGTTGAAGCAATGATCAAATAGAAAACACACACAGAGACCTAAACAAGAACATACAGAGTAAAAACTACACAGTTAAATATCAAAAATATTTCCAAATGCAAATGTGAAGTTTCAAATACAAAAATGAAAAAAAAAAAGAAAGAACTGAAGTTGGTACTTTGATGCTTTTATGCTAAAGAAGGAAGAGAAACATTAATAAACTATTTAAACCTGCATCCTGGCTATACAGATTGTTAGATTTCCCTCTTATGTCATTAGCAGCCTTTTCTTAAAGTTTTAGCTGCCATCCTTCTTTTTTTCTACTTTATTTGTCAATAAGGCAGCGAAATGCAAGATTTGAATAAACTATTTTGTTTTGTTTAGGTTTCATAAAAACCTTTAGCCAATCTGAAGAAGTGCATCTTTTTTAAGAAAGAAACAAAGATGCACTTCTTCTAATCATCCACTAGGCAGCACTGTTTCTTAAACCAGATTTGAAGATGAGAGGCCAGGTTACAAACCCTCGATTATAAATAAAAAGGCTGTTGCATCAATTTTTACAGAAGTGAATGACAAAAAATAGTTAAAACAGCTGCTAGATCCATCACACCTTGCGGACTGATTTATTCTCCCACACATAATGTGAAGTTGAACAACTTCTTGGGTGCTCACTCTGCTGTTCCCTGTTCCTCTTGCATTTATCTTCATCTGAGAGTTCATTTAAACCAAAATATCACAGTGAAGATGACTCATTTGTGTTGATGGTGGTTCTTTATTTTTCTTGTCAGTCCTTTAGACTAGGAGATACGTAATCCAGATGTCTTAACTGTTAAAGAAGCTATGTTTGACTATTTGTTGAAAGTTTGTTTAAATATTGGCAAGGTATATGCATCTATTATTAGCTGGTAAAACTGGAAAATTTCTGCAAAGAAATATTCACTCAAATCTAAGTAACCAGTATTCACATTGTTACAAGCATAAGTGGTTTTTGGACAATGCTGTCCTGGGGAAGTCCCTTCCCCTACATTCAGACACACACAACCAGCCACACTGACCTCACCACCAAAGGAGCTCTACCCAACAATAATAAATGAAACTATGTGAAGAATAGAGCAATCCAAATGCCAAAAGAGCTTTTAAAATGCTTGTTTTGTGTTTTAACAATAGAATACCAGGCTAATAATTCTCAAATAGTGCTTTAAAGATTGTTTGAGATGACCAGGTATCACTAAATGTATGCATTTTTAAAACGAGTGCAGTTTCTCTCCATAGACAAGGAAGCCTTTAATACAGGCTGAAAGCTCAAGCTAGAAATTAGATACCAACTTCAGGGTCGTTGGTCACCTGAGGTGAATATCAAAATGACTCTATAGGTGCCCATTCGGAATGCTTGAACATGCAAATAAGCTGTAGAAGACTCATTTTGGTGCAAAAAGAAAAAAAAGAAACCTCATGATTTTTAATGTTTGGTTTTATGGGGCCCCTTGGCAGTGCCTCTCTGAGTGGAGAGCCTCACCACCCAAATCAAAACGTCATTTTTTATTTATTTATTTATATTTATTTATTTATTTTTTTGCTTAATGTCTAACCGCTTGTTTTTTTAAGTGTGTTTTCTCAGCGGGGTGGCAGGACAGTAGAGACACAGACATAGTGTCCGGTTGCACTCCGCGCCCCAGCACAATTCCTCTACTCCCTCCAGTTAGATGTCTATTTTTGGCGTGAGGCTCAGCTGATTGTAACACTGAAAGCTCAGTCCCTCCCTGATTTTTTTCCTCTCCTCTTGTCGACAGTTGTTCATTCTTATTAGGAAAAGACGGAGGTTTGCTGCGGGGCTCAGTCAGGATAGAGATAGAGATAGAGATAGAGGGATGCTCCTCTCTTGGCTTAAGCTGTCAAGGTGAAAAAATAAACTTTTTCGCTCTCCTCCTCAACCACCTTGACTCCACAACTTTTGGTTTTCCAACTTTACAATTTTTTTCTCCTTTCTTATTTTTATTTATTTTTTTATTACTTGGTGATCGGTTATTCCCAGTTGCCTGCTGGAGCCCCGCTGGGTCGCGGCAGAAAACGAGACGGAGGATGGAGACGAGCCCCATCCCGGTGGTGACGGTCCAAACCGCGCCCTTTGAGGACCAGCGGCCCGGAACCAACGGGCTGCGGAGGAAGACCGCGGTGTTCGAGGGGAAGAAGAACTACCTGCAGAACTACGTCCAGAGCCTCCTGTCCTCCATCGACTTGCGGGACAGACAGGGCTGCACCATGGTGGTGGGCAGCGACGGCCGCTATTTCAGCCGGGCTGCCATTGAGGTGATAGTGCAGATGGCAGCTGCCAATGGGGTAAGGAGACCTGGAGATGGTCACTAAATGTTATACATCATTTGGGTGTGCAGTACTTAAGTCATTTGGTCCAAAGTTCAAACTATGTCCCACCTAATTATTGGCTCTATGTGTTTTTTTTTTTTTTTTTTAAGCAGCACATACGGATAAGTTGTGTTTAAATATCTGGTTAATATCCAGTAGATGAATAAAGCAGGAAAGTCTCCAACACCCAAAGGTCAACATTTAGAAAAAAAAAAACTAAAAATCTAAATGGATTTACATAATCCTGGAAACACAACAACCAATGAAAACCCCCCAAAAGCTGGAAAAGTAAACAGGAAATATAAAGTATAATAATAATAATAATAATAATAATAATAATAATAATAATAATAATAATAATAATAATAATAATAATAATGCTGTGAAAAACCGTCACTACTCTAAAAGTAAATGAGTAAATCAAGATTATCAGGCTGTCGGTTTTAGTGTGAAGTACTACGGCCTGTTGATTGTGTTTATTTTTAGGCTGGAAACATAAATTTTCACACCACCTTTCAGCACATGTCCCATGTTGTGTCACAGATGGTTGGTTGACATTTAGTTACCCTATTTATATTAAATATGTTTGTTAAGGAATGTGGAGGGGGAAAAAACAAAGTAGTGAGTAATGTGAGGTGGAAAGAAAATTATTTTTCAAAAAGAAAAAAAAATTACAAAGAAAAACAAAACAAAACGGTGACATTTATGTACTCTGATAATCCCAAACTGTGATGAAACTGTTTGAGTTTTCAGGTTTGTTTCTGCTTCCATCACTTAGTTATTTATGCTTTCATTCTTGCCTTTTCTTTTGCTCAGTGTTTCTAACTTGGTTATTTTTTTCCTCTTCTCTACTCTCTTCATGTTCATCTACCTTCTTTCCTCAACCTTTCTGCTTAGTTTCTCCTCACAGCCTCATTCTGTTTCCAGTCTTTTCTTCATGTTCCTCAGTATTTAAGCTCCTTATTCTCCTTCACACACTGGTGGGTTCTTGCTTTTGCACTGTTGTTTTGGTTCTCCTTTGTTGGTCTGATGACTCCTTGAGTGTTTTTCCCAAAAGATTTTTTTAAATTCTTTATTATAATCCTCCTGACCGACAACTTGGACTTTAGTCTGTCCTCAAACTCAGATTAGATGACACAAATAAAATCTAGCTCAAGAAATTGTAGTAAAAAATGATCTTAACTGTTGAACAGACTCCTCAGCTGTGTAAGTAAATTTCAATATAAAGAACACTTACAGAACAAGAAGAAACTTGTAATAATCTCAGCTGGTGATTATAAAAATATGACGAGAGATTAAGAAAACTTAGAGGAAACTCCCCAAGTTGCTTCCAAAATTCTGTGCTGTGAGAAGTTTACCTTGGACTATTTCCAAAGGAAAAAAGAGCTAAAGGGAATATAATTTTTTTGTTGACATCGGTCCTTATGTTTCCGCTGACCTTGGCCAAATGTCTCCTGATGTCAGCCTTGTCAGCACTTCCATCCATCCTGCTCCTTTTCCTGCCTACGTTCGGCCACACCAGCAGCTCGCTCCCGCAGCACCGTTACGCCTCTGCACAGCTGAACTGTACACACTGGGGATGCCCCTGTCACAGAGTATGGAAAAGACCCAACTATGAAGCATCAACACTTGGCACACAAACCCAGGCCTTCCATCTCCTTCTAATTTTCACTTATAGCTGAGTTCACACCAATTCAGACTTTCACTACCCCAAGCTATCCTGTATAAAATCTATTTTTTTCTTTGGAGGATGAATTCCTTTGTGTTGAGGGCACTCTTCTTTAGAGCGGCTGATGAGCAGGATGTGGGTATTAGCACTTTATAAGTAGCATGCAAAGTATAAATAGAGAGTGTGGACTCACTTGGGTGGAGATCATTTACTTGATAAAGCTAACAGTACATTAGACCCTGTGAAGTGATACAATTTTGGGAGCTCTTTCTTTTAAACCTTTTTGGGTCAAACCAGATATTTGTATGTAAATAAATATTGTAGCGTGCCTTCTTAAAGTATTCACAGGAGCTTTCTCAAATATTGTCATAATGCAATTACAAAACTTTTGTATTTTTACAATAAAAGAGCTCATAATTGAGAAGTGGAGAGAAAGAGATAAACCAGCTGAAGACTTTAGAGGTTTGTTAGAGAGCGTGAGTTAAGAATTGGTATCATCAGCAGACAGGTCTAGGGTAAAGTTCTGAAAAATTTATTTGTGTTGATCCATCATCTGTCAAGACTTTGGCATCAGTCTGAACTGATATGTTGGTCAAGGAAAGCATTAAGCAGAAAACCAGCCACAAGGACCATTGTAACTCTGGAGGATATAAAGAGATCCACAACTTTGGTGGATGAATCTTATGACGGGACATTCGGAAGAGCAGCAAGAAGAAAGCAGTTGTTGAAAGAAAACTGA